ATCACTAATTATTTGAGAAATGAAAATAAAAACTGAGATATCATCTCACACTTGTGAAAACGGCTATAGTCAAAAAGTCTACAAATAGCAAATGTTGGAGAGGATGTGTGAATAGAGAATCCTCTTACACTGATGTGTGCATGCATGCCTGCTCAGCCGTTACAGTCATGGCCAACTCTCCGTGACCCCAGGGACCATAGCCCTCCAGCGCCTCTCTCTATGGGATTCTACAGGCAAGAAGACTCGAGTGGGTTGCCATGCTCTCTTCCAGGGGATTCCCCACCCAGGGATCGAACCTGCATCTCCTGCACCACAAGGGGAGTCTTCACCCCTGAGCCAGTGGGAAAGCAACCTACACTGTGGGTGGGAATGTAAATTGGTGCAGCCACTCTATAAAACACTAGGGAGTTTCCTCCAAACACTAAAACTAGGACTATCATATGGTCCAACAATTCCACCCCTGAGTATATATCTGGAAAAGTGAAAACACTAATTTGGAAGGACACACGCACCTCACTGTTCATAACAGCACTCTTTATAACAGCCAAGATACAGCAGCAACCCAAGTGCTAGTCAACAGATGAATGGATGTAGAAGATGTGCCATATACATGAATACTACTCAGCCATAAAAAGAATGAAATTCTTCCATTTGTAGCAACATGGATGGACATAGAGAATGCTATGCTTAGTGAAGCAAAGTCAGAGAGAAAGACAAATACTGTATGAAATCACTTCTTCATGGAATCTAAAAAATAATACAAATTAATGTATACACAAAAACAGAAACATACTCACAGATAAAGAAAATAAACTTGTGCTTACCAAAGGAGAGAGGGAAAGGAAGAAAGACAAATTAGGGGTAGAGGATTTAAAGATAAAAACTATCACATATAAAAGAAAGCAAAAATGGTATACTGTACAACATAAAGAATGGTAGCCATTACATTTTAATAATTTTAAGGGAGTGTAATCTGCAAAAATACTGTATGCTGTACACCTAAAACTAATATAAAATTGTAAATCTACAATAACTCAAAAAAATGAATAAAAAGCAAAGAAGTAAAGAAAATCAGAATGAACATAAATGTTAAATGAAAGAAAATAATAAAAATATAAGAAAGATAAGTATGTTTCATTCACCATTTCTAACAATAAATTTGTTTGCTTATCACTGTAAACAATATTAAAATATATTATAAAAAATGATAGATTTATTTTTTCCTATTTTGCAACATTTTGGAAAATACCATTTTATTAGTAATCCTGCATATAAGAAAAGTAAATAAACTTTGAATGCTGATGTTATGGGTACTGCAATTAGATGGGAGAAACTTTTTCCAGATATAATCTTGCTCATACTAACTGATTTAATTTGATTAACCTCATTCCAAAGTTTTCCATATTCTATAATGCTTTGTTTTAAAACATCATGTATATTGCAATAACATGGATGGATCTAGAGATTGTCATACTGAGTGAAGTAAGTCAGACAGAGATAGCCAAATATCATACAACATGGCTTATATGTAGAATCTAATATGAATATAATTTATTTATATTTATTTGAATTTAATTCAGATGACCATTTATTTCTACTACTGTGTACAAGAATCCCCTAGAAGAAATGGAAAAGCCCTCATAATCAACAGAAGCGTCTTGGTGCAATACTTGGTGCAATCTCAAAAATGACAGAATGATCTGGGTTCATTTCCAAGGCAAACCATTCAGCATAACAGTAATCCAAGTCTAGGCCCCAGTCACTAATGCCGAAGAAACTGACATTGACCAGTTCTATGAAGACCTACAAGACCTTCTAGAGTGAACACCAGCAAAAGATGTCCTTTTCATCACAGGGGACTGGAATGCAAAAGTAGGAAGTCAAGAGATACCTGGAATGCCTGGTAAGTTTGGCCCTGAGGTACAAAATAAAGCAAGGCAGAGAGAGGCTAGCAGAGTTTTGTCAAGAGAATGCACTGCTCACAGCAGACACCCTTTTCCAACAAGACAAGAGACAACTCTACACATGGACATCATCAGATGGTCAATATTGAAATCAGGTTGATTATATTGTTTGAAACCAAAGATGGAGAAGCTCTAGAGAGTCAGCAAAAACAAGACTCGGAGTTGACTGTGGCTTAGATCATGAGGTCCTCACTACAAAATTCAGGGTTAAATTGAAGAAAGTAGGGAAAATTGTTAGGCCATTCAGGTATGACCTAAATCAAACCCCTTATGATTATACAGTGGAGGTGATGAATAGATTTAAAGGATTAGATCTGGTAGACAGAGTGCCTGAAGAACTATAGATGGAGGTTCATAACATTGTAAAGGAGGTGGTGACCAAAACCATCCCAAAGAAAAAGAAATGCACGAAGGAAAAGTGATATGAGGAGGCTTTACACACAGCTGAGGAAAGAAGAGAAGGGAAAGGCAAGGGAGAAGGGGAAAGATACACCCAGTTGAATGCAGAGTTCCAGAGAATAGCCAGGAGAGATACGAAAGTCTTCTTAAGTGAACAATGAAAAGAAATAGAGGAGAACAATAGAATGGGAATGACTAGAAATCTCTTCAAGAAAATTGGAGATATCAAAGGAATATTTCACGCAAGGATGGACAGAAGCAGTAGGGACTGAACTGAAGTAGAAGAGATTAAGAAGAAGTGGCAAGAATATACAGAAGAGCTATAGCAAAAAAGTCTTACTGACCCAGTAACCATGATGGTGTGGTCATTCACCCAGAGCCAACTATCTTGGTGTGTGAATTCAAATGGGATTTACGAAGCATTACTACAAACAAATCTAGTGGAGGTGATGGAATTCCAGCTGAGATATTTCAAATCCTAAAAGATGGTTAATTTGGTTGGAGTGTTGCACTTAATATGTCAGCAAATTTGGAAAACTCAAGGGCCACAGGACTGGAAAAGGTCAGTTTTAATTTCAGTCTCAAAGAAGGGCAATGCCGAAGAATGTTCACTACTGTACAATTGTGCTCATTGCACATGCTAGCAAGGTTAAGATCAAAATCCTTCAAACTAGGTTTCAGCAGTACCTGAACTGAGACTGTCCAGATGTATAATTTGGGTTTAGAAAAGGCAGAGGAAACACAGATCAAATTGTCAACACTCTCTGGATCATAAAGAAAGTAAGGAAATTCCAGAAAAACATCTACTTCTGCTTCATTGACTACTCTAAAGCCTATGATTGTGTGGATCACAACAAACTGTGGGAAATTTTTAAGGGATGGGGAATACCAGACCACCTTACTGGTCTGCTGAGAAACTTGTATGTAGGTCAAGTTCATATCCATTGAGTCAGTGATGCTATCTAACCATCTCATTGTATGCCAGCCTCCTCTCCTTTCACCTTCAATCTTTCCCAGCATAAGGGTCTTTTCCAATGAGAGAGTTATTCCTATCAGGTAGCCAAAGTATTAGAACTTCAGCTTCAACAACAGTCCTTTCAATGAATATGTAGGGTTGATTTCTTTTAGGATTGACCAGCTTAATCTACACGAAATCCAAGGAACTCTCAAGGCTTCTCCAACTCCGAGAGTTGGTGATGAAGAGAGGCCTGGAGTGCTGCAGTCCATGGGGTCACAAAGAGTTGGGCACGACTGAGCAACTGAACTGAACTGAATGATTTTCACAATATATTTTCAAGGGCTTATTCAAAGACTATAAGTAGAAATTGATCAACACCTATAACTATGTTACAACATAGGCTCATAATTCTTAAATTAAAAATAACTTTGTAAAGAATAACACGTGCATTCATGTACTACAAGTATTTTATAACTTTTTATGTGTAAAATCTATTTATGCACACAAAAGTTTCATTTAATTTTCATTGTAAGAACAAACATGTTGTTACCAAAAGGGAGAGAGAGGGAGAATGAACAAATTATGGTATAGGATTAAAATATAAAAACTACTATGTATAAAGTTTAATAAACAAATAGGTATATTGTATAACACAGAGAATGAAAGTAATATCCTGCATAACTCCATACCCATCATACTCATAATACCACTCAATTATCAGGGATACAGATTTTTCTTTAACTGCATTTTCATTTTCACTGAAACTAAAGTGCGTTTGAGTCATTCCAGATGAATTAGTGAAAAACAAAGGACAAAAATCATTTAACAACTTTTAAAAAGCAATCATTAAAATCTTGGTCAGGAAAGATGTTTAAGAAAGAATCTAGAAATTAACTTATTTATTTATTTCACTTCTCAGTAATTTAAAATTCTGTAACAAACAATCTGATAAAGGGATCATCTATGGTTATAATAATTGTTTTATGCTAATGATTAGATAATTGTGCTTTCTCTGTTATTCTTTTTTTCTTGATCTCTTCTCATCCATTTCTCTATTTACTAAATTGTTTCAAAGTACCAACTTTGTCCATATTTTGTACCGTAGAGTTTCATGTTTTTAAATTTATTTTTTATTTCTTCCTTTATGTACTATTTCATTTATTTTATTGCTCCTTTTTGTAGCATCTTTATATGGATATCTATCTCTTTAGTTTGGAGTATTTTTATTTCCTAATATGAATATATAAGTTTCTGAATTTCCTTCTAAATATGCTTTAGATGTATTTTACAGGCTTGAAATTCTCAGTACTTTGTTATAATTGAAAATAATTTCTAATTTTTATCACAATTTCTTCTTGAATGAATGGGATAGTTGATATATATTTCCCAGTTTTAATATGTGTGGGATTTTTCTAGTTATCTTTCTGATACTGATTTTTAACTTAATTCCATTGTATCTGAGAACATAATTTGTATTATGTCAACCCTTTTAGATCATTTACTATTTCTTTTAAAATTATCTCTTTCAAAAAATTCCTGGAGCTTGCATAATACCCATCATAAATTTTCTGAGCTATTCAATTAATCAAAAAAGAATGCAAAACAAAGTAAAATATATTTGAAAGAAGATGAACCTTTGCATTTAAAACTAAAAGAGAACACTTGATGGGATTAACTACCTTCTCTCCTGGGGTCACAGAGACTCTCCAGATGCAGTGTGTATAAGATGGATAGCCATTTGGAAATCCCGGGGAGGACAGATTGCCATTGGATTCTTGTAGCGTTTCTCCACATGCTGAAAGAAAGAAAAACAACATATGTTTGATTTTTTTTAATGAAAAAGATAAAATTATTCGTTATTTTTTATAAAAGACACTTGCATCATAAATGAATCTTGAGTCTTTTGGTGTTAGACAAGGATATATGTATTTTATAAAACACTTTTCTTTTATAAGTAATTTTTTAAAAATGTCTTTCTTACTAGAATTTCAGTGTACTTAAAGGGATTGCTATAGCTAAACATATAACAAGATTATGAGATAAATAACCTGAAGAACCATAAATTTTTTCCTCATGGAAACATTTCTCATTCATTCCTAAGGAGCAAATAGCCAACTTATACATCACCTATACTCAGTTTGAAGCCAGTGGGTACCTATTCGATGTGATTCTGGGACTCCATGGAACATTCTATTATTATATTTGGTGTAGAGTGAAGTTAATTTTAATAATGAATACTGTATCAAAGTTTGGAAAAAGAAAATTTAAATAATAATGAATAAATAGTCAATAAAAATGGTGCCAAAATGACACACAACCGATTTTTTTTTTCAAAATAAACTGGAATAAGTTGAAACATAAATTATGAAAAAAAAAAAGAAAAAAAATTATGGAATTCAGATTTTCCAATGAGATATAGATACTTATTTATTCTCTGTTTTCTGCCTATTATAAGTAGAAATTTCTGGGAAAGCAATTTTATTTTCCTTTTACTACCCCTATCTACTGGAGAATCCCATGGAGAGGAGCCTGGCAGTCTACAGTCCATGGGGTCACAAGAGTTGGACACAGCTTAGTGACTAAACAACCAAACAACCAAGAGCTCCTATCTAACTTCTTGGTATTAATTACCAGTCATCTGATGTAGCAAACAGTCAGCTATACAGCCTCAAGATCTGTATGACTAATATCTATAGGCCAATTCAACAAAGGCAAGATCAGAGGATAATTAGCTCACTGGTTCAGCCAAGGTTTGTAGTCAGAAGCATTCTACAATGGACTGTCTTGTTGCTTTTGCAAGGCATGATCTGAGTTAAATGAATCTAAGCTGATTTAAGTACCCTTAATTCATGAACAATCACTATACAGCAGTTAGTTTATATAAATATTTATATAAAGATGTTTATAACTTTCATTCAACAGTTTGAAAGAATAACTCCTTCCTTCTGAAGGAGAATGAGATAAAACCTGATATATTACCATATTATAGAGCCAGCAGGTGAATTCTAGCGGATGAACTCTTGTCTCATCAAAACAATACATTATAAATGGTTCTGCATATCTTGATTTAAATGAAGAAACAAAAATAATAGCTTGAAAAACATAAAATAGACATGTAAAAAGAGTTTGATATGATATAAATATTTATGCAGCCATGAAATTAAAAGACACTTGCTCCTTGGAAGAAAAGCACTGACAAACCTAGACAGTGTATTAAAAAACAGAGACATTAACTACAAAGGTCCTCATAGTCAAAGCTATGGTTTTTCCCATAGTCATGTACGGATGTGAGAGCTGGAACAATAAAAAAGGCTGAGCACTTAAGAACTGATGCCTTTGAACTGTCATAAGGGAGAAGACTCTTGAGAGTCCCTTGGACAGAAAGGAGATCCAACCAGTCCATCCTAAAGGAAATCACCCTGAATACTCATTGGAAGGACTGATGCTGAAGCTGAAGCTCCAATAGTTTGGCCACCTGATGCGAAGAACTGACTCATTGGGAAAGACCCTGATTCTGGGAAAGATTGAAGGCAGAAGGAGAAGGGGATGACAGTGGATGAGATTCTTGGATGGCCTCACAGACTCAATGGACGTGAGTTTGAGCAAACTCCAGGAGATGGTTTAGGACAAGGGAAACCTGGTATGCTGCAGTTCATGTGGTCACAAAGAGTCGGACATGACTAAGCAGCTGAATAACAACACAAATAATGTTTGTACAACAAAATAAATTTAAAATAAGAGCAAGCAATATTTATTCTGATAAACAGGCAGATAAACACAACTTGAGAATAAAAAAAAAATGCTAAATGTAAAAAATATGTAATCAATACTTTCCATGAATCATCTAAGGATACTTAATAAATATGACATTAAAAGACCCCTTAGAAAAATGAAAATTTGTTAAGATTATTGATGCAACTGATGTGTTTCTAATTATGATCAGTTTAGGTGCTAAATAGCCATTGGGGAATTGAGTGTGTTTCAATGAAAAAATCTACAATTTATAGCAGTTTAAAAATAAATTCTGTAATTCCAAGCTACATAGAATGTTGGTACTGAATTTCCTCAAGTGGAATTAAAACAATTAACTCACACATGTAAACAAATATTATTATATTGATAAAACAATAAAACAGAAAGCTCTCTGAAATGCAAAAAAAAAGAATATAATTCAAACATCTAATAAATGTATTATATAGCACCTACTTATAATGCAAGAACTGTGGACACCAATTGCCAAGTTGTAATCATTTGTGCCTTTCCCTCAGTACATGTGGCTATCCCAGGCTACCTGATTCCTATTTCAGAAGATTTTCATAAATTTCCCTGGGCATTTGTTGATTCATGTCCAGGTATAAAAACTAATTTTATAACTAAAACAACTAAAGGAAAATTAGCACAGAAATGATGGCACTACTAAGTTAAATACATAGTCTCCTCATTTACACAGAAATCTATTTAGTATATGGATGATAAGAGAGAAATTTGACTCACAGCATAATCCCTTGTTATGTCATACAAGCAAGCCTCAAAACCTTCAACTTCAGTTTTCTGTTCTTTAAAATGGCTCTTATTAATATGTATTTCATAAAGTTGTTTTGTAGGGGTCCAGTATTGTTATGCCTAAAGCCCTCTATTTAGCACTTAAGATACCTCTGATACAGGTGGGAAAACTGTGGGCTTAACTTTTACAATGTATCTTTGAACTAAATAAAACCCAGTCTTATCTAAGAGAAAAAAAAGCATAAATATACAAAGAAAAATTATCATCACTCTCCTAGTAAAAATCATTCTAAAGTAAAACAATTCACAAATTGAATTTTCATCTCTCTAGGCAGATGGCATGATCTTATATGTACAAAACCATAAAGATTTCACAGACAAAAAAAAAATACTGTTAGAAGTAATAAAAAAATACAAAATTGTAGAATACAGAATCAACACACAAAGTTCAGTTGCATATCCATTAACTACCAATGAATAATATGAAAATGAAATTAAGAAAATAATCCTGTTTATAAGAAACCCCCCCAGTAATAAAATATTTAGGAATGAAAGAGGCAAAATAAACTTGAGGCAAAAGACATGAATATTGAAGACTACAAAACATTGATAAAAGAAATGTAAAGGACACAAAGATGTGTTCATGGATTGGAAAACTGAATACTGTTAAAATATTATCCATCCTAGTCAAAGCATGGATAAATTTCTAAAATTCAGTGCAATCACTATCAAATTCCCAGTGGCATATTTTTGTAGTAATGGGAGGAAAAGTCTTAAAATTCATATAGAATCACAAATCCTAAATAGCCAAAACAATCCTGAAGGGGGGAAAAAAAAACAGAGCTGGAAGCCTCATTCTTCTTAACCTCAAAACATACTACATATCTACAGTAATTAAAAGTATGATACTAGCATAAGAGAGGCATATAGACCAATGGGACAGAATAAAGAGCCAAAAATAAACCCACACCTAAACAGTAAAATGGGATCTTTGACAAGGGTGCTAAGACTTTTCAATGGTGAAAAGATAGGCACTTCCATAAATGGTGTTAGGGAAATTAGATATACACACACAAGAGAATAAAATTGAACCCGTTTTTTCACTATCCTCAAAAATCAACTCAAAGTGGATTAAAGACCTAAAAGTAAGACCCCAATTTATAAAATTCCCAGAAGAAAAACATAGGTGAAAAACATCATAACAGAGGTCTTGGCAATGATTGCTTAGATGTGAAACCAAAAGCACAGGTAATAAGAGTAAAAATAGACAAGGGGAACAACAGCAAGGTAAACAACTTCTGTGTAGCAAAGGGAAGAATCAAGAAAAGGAAAACAAATATTTGGAATGGAACATTTGCAAATCATGCATCTATCTCATAAGGGGTTATATCCAAAACACAGAAGGAACTTAGCGAACAAACAACAAAACAAACCCCAAGTCACCAAACTTTGAAATGGGCAAAGGACTTGAATAGACATTTCTCCACAGAAGACATACAAATGGCCAATAGACACATGAAAAAAGTGCTCAATGTCACTAATCATCAAAGAAAGGAAAATCAAAACCACAATGAGATATCACCTCACAATGGCTGGTTGGCCATTATCAAAGAAACAGAAATAGCAAGTATTGGTGCGGATATAGAGAACCACTTTAAACTGCTGTTAGGAATGCAAAATGGTGCAGCCACCATGGAAAACAATGTGGAGTTTCCTCAGAAATAATGAATAGAGCTACTCTGAATGAATACAGCAACTCTGCTTCTGGGTATTGATGCAAAACAATTGAGAACAAAGTCTTGAAGAAATATGCACACTCACATATTCATTGAGTATTACTGAGAGCAGCCATAGAAACAAACTGTCTTATCATTGGATGAATGAATAAATAAAACGTGGTATATGCATACAATGGAATATTATTCACCCTTCAAACAGAAAGAAATTTGTCATGTGCTACAAGAGGGATGAACCTTGAGGACATAATTCTAGTGAAATAGGCTAGGCATAAACAAAAAGACAAATATCACATGAGATTTCTAGAGAGATCTGCTGTATACCAATTTGTATATAATTGACAGCACTGTACCGTACAATAAAACTTTTTAATAGGACATATGTTATATGCATTTCATCAAAATTTAAAAATAATTAATAATAAGAGTAAACTTCTAAATATTTTATGATCCATCTCACTTTTGCAACAGATGGTTCTCATGTATGCTTTACCTTCCAAGATAGAAAATTGTTTTTGAATTGTATAAATGCTTCCTGGATTGTGTGTGGCAGAGAAATTATTATTGATTTACAGTTGTTTGTAAATATCTGTATACAGATATTTTTTGTGGCAAATGTCTATAATATCCAACAGATATCAAAGATTGAGAATAACTTTTCCATAGTCTTAAAGAATATCTTTATAATGTTACTAACTCGAAAAAAGTACAACAACTTGTAGTAGACAAATCTCTTCCCTCAAAATCTTGATAAACTCTAGAGTATGGGAAGAAATAAAACTATATCTAAACAACTTAGCACTACCTAATCAACTTCATACATCCATTAATCTCTCAAACTTTTAAATGTAATAAATAAAATATAGATTTAAAATGATTTTAAGGTAAGAAATGTTAAAAGAAATCCTGTCATCTGAGTCATCATAATGGTGAAATTAATTACTGAAATATTTTAAAATATATTTCAACAGTAACTCCCTTGCCAAGTCCGACACCAGTTCCAAGAAGTCTTCCTCATTCCACGGTTCAGTTCAGTTCAGGCCCCCCTCTCAGAACTGCTTTAGCATCCTTTACTGATGAGATTTATTTCCTTGACAAGTAACATTGTCTGGAGAATTGCACAGATGATTGGCTATTTGTGTGCATAATCTGTGCTTCCTTCTCTGTGGCCATAATATCTGGTGTAGTACCTTTCACAAATTAAAGCAACTATTTCATTCATACAGCAACCACTTATGAGCACCTAATATTTAACTGATATGTAGATGATACCACTCTAAAGGCAAGAAGTGAAGAGGAACTAAAAAGCCTCTTGATTAGGGTGAAAGAAAGAAGAGAGTGAAAAAGCTGGCTTGAAACTTAACATTCAAAAANAGACATCACTTTGCCGACAAAGGTCCATATAGTCAAAGCTATGATCTTTCCAGTAGTCATGTACAGATGTGAGAGTTGGACTGTAAAGAAGGCTGAGTGCCAAAGAATTGATGGAGAAGACTCTTGAGAGTCCTCTGGACAGCAAGGAGATCAAACCAGTCAATTCCAAAGAAAATAAACCTTGAATATTCATTGGGAGGACAGATGCTGAAGCCAAAGTCCAGTACTTTAGCCATCTGATATGAGGAGCTGACTCATTGGAAAAGACCCTGATGCTGGGAAAGATTGAAGGAAAAGGAGAAGGGGGCGACAGAGGATGATATGTTGAGATAGCATCACCAACTCAATGGATGTGAGTTTGAGCAAACTCCAGGAGATAGTGAAGGATGGGGAAGCCTGGTAACTGCAGTTCATTGGGTCACAATGGACACATAGTGACACATTTGGACACATAGTGACTAAACAACAACAAAATACCCTGAGGGAAAAGTCTACTTCCAGTCCTAAAGATTATACTCTAATTGCGAAATGACAAGTGAATTGATGGTTTTAGGAATAAGACATGAAGGCCAGAGCAAATAGGGCATTTACTACCATGGAAATCCTGGGATATCAGTTAGTTTTTAAGTAGGAGGTTACACAGAAGCTAAATCCTGAATATTAATTAGGACTTGGCTAGGAGTCAGTAGGAGTTTTCTGGATTGAGGAAGAAGCAGGAGGTGAGCACGCTTAGTGCCAGGTGCTGGATGAAGTAGAAGGGAGAAACTAGGCTGTAAGTGAAACACCTAGCAAAGAGGCTGGGGAAGAGACAGGGGAAAGGAAACCAGTCTTTATGCTAAAATAAGCAGAGTAGGATCTGTATATTGAAGTGCCACTTGAACGGCGGTATGGCCAGAGAACTAAAGAGATGTAAGAATAGAGGGAATAGGTTAATTAGGAAGCACTGTAGTAACCCCGACAAAAGGTGAGGATCCCTAGGATAGGGGATTCACTTCAAGAATATGAGATAGATGCCAAGAAGGCAGCAGGATTGATTAGTTGTGGGAAGTGTGGCAGAAAAAGGAATGAAGAGAGAATGCCCTCCACAGTTTTGACTTGGAATGATCTGTGTCTAGTACCATCAACTGAACTAAGAAATGTTTTATGAACAAATGGGTCTGTGAATAAATGAGAAAGTGACTAATTTTTTTTTTTTGCATGTTGGAAACATATTTGAGCCAAGAATTTTATATAAACACATATAAGTGATATTCTCTTTGAAATTTCAGAGAATTATATCAGGAATTACAGATTTTCTGTAACTAAAAAGAAACTCATATTAATTTAAAAAATAAATTTAATGTTCAAGCATTTAAAAAATTGCCAGTATTTAAATTTCCTGCACAATGAAACTGGTCTTCTATCCCTACAACCTCTACACAGATGTACATCCAATAGATGTAGATATCTGTATATATACACTGTATGTTTAACACCACTTTTAAATTTGTAAACATCTATTTTGACTACATCTATGAGTGACTACACATACACTTTTATATAACAATGATTCTAATCTTCAAAAGCCTCTTTATTTTTAGATATTTATTTTTTGTTAATTTCATTATGCTACTTTACATTTAATTAATGAAGATTTACTAAGAGAGTATTAGGGTTGACAGTTGGTATAGGTATGAAGTATAAGCCAAAAGGTTATGGGACTATAGAAAAACTATATTAAGAGAAAATGCAAATAAAGACCAGAAACTATATTAGAAGGGCTCAGTATCAGCAGTTTAGAAATAAAAAGGGGAAGTAATCCTAAAGTTGGATCAAATAGGTGGAGAATCTATTTAGAAAATGGGAGTCACAAGGGAAAAAAAGGCCCCCCAAAAAAGAGAGAGCAAGAGAACAAATGAGTTATTTATAAAGACACACCACCACTCACACATCTCAGTGAGTATCTCTTTCACCAGCAGACTGCTGACTACTGGGATAAAGGGAAGATGAAGACCATTCTCTGCCCCACGTGGACATTTCCATATGTCAATGAGCAAATATGACATTTTGTGAATGAATCAGCTACCCAGTCAGAAACTTTTCTAGACTGGTACCAATAATCACAGTAAACTTAGTTAATATAACTTCTCAATAACTAAATATATATAAATAAAATTTAAACATGGGAATCTATGTAAAACTTCAATGATTAATTTACCCATCCTATCCTGAATGTCTGTATAAGTTACTGGAAGAGCAGCGAACTAACGCTTTTTGCACTATTTTACTATTTATGATATCAGTATCTGGAACAAAAACTGAACTTCACAGGTATTAGTTTCCTATAAATAACAACAAAAAAATTGAAAATGCTGTGTTAAGCAAAATTAAGCATGTATCTTTGATACAGCCTATTTCAAAGCATGTTGCATATATAGGAGGTACATAGGATATGAAGAAGTTCCAATTTGAAAGCAGAATCTTTTTCTTTTTTTTAAATTGGAGTATAATTGCTTTATCTTTTCTTTCTTAGACCAGTAAGGCATTAGTGTTCCCTTGGAACATTGTTACTAAGACCTCTCTTTAATCTTTTTTCACAAACGTATCTAATAGCAAACATATTAACAAACTAGCAAACATATTAACAAACATAAAAACAAACTAGTAGCTCACTAGTAATATGATTAGAACTTTGTTTTTTGCAACGAAGTTATAAATGCCACCTAATAAAATTGAAATTTATATACTGTTAATGATAGTACTTGCTAGAAAAGATCATTTAGGATGGAATTTTGAAGTTGAAATTAAGGATATTCTTGTTATGTTGGCAAGGAAGCTCATAATTTGACTATGAACTCATGCAACTATTTAGTAACAACTATATTTTTCTTCTTTTTTATTCATTAAATTAAAAGAAATAAAGCATACTATCCCTGCTTTTGAAATTTGATTTCTAGCAATTTGTTTTGAATTATACTGATGGGTATTCCAGATTTCTCTTCTATTTCATTTTATGATTAGTAACTTTGAACTGAACATCTCAGTTACTCGCCAGCATGAAAAGAGACAAGTAAACAGCTGTTAATTGTGGCTCGTTCATCTGGAAAAGCACTATCAGACTCAATTATGCTTCTGAGTTTGGGTGGTGCAGTACCTGGACATCTATACAGCTTTCTTGCCTGCGCAATATCTCCTTTGCTTAAGCGGGTTCGCTGACCAATTGCTGGACGAATGCCATTATCATCACGTGAGGGGAGAATGGTATCCAGAAACATCCCCCTAAAAAAAAATCAGAAACAAGTCACACATAAGTCATCAAATTAAGACACATATATTCCTTACAAATATGTTTTTTTTTTTCAAAAACTCAAACCAATCAAAGGAGAAATATATCATGTTCAGATTTAAACTGTGTGTCAGTCTCTCAAAATGCTTTCATCAAAGTAGGAAAAAATTGTGTGCTAAATGTGTATGGTGAACTTAGACTGGTAATCTATTTCACACATGGTAATATGCATGTTTCGGTGCTATTCTCTCAAATTATCCCTCCCTCACCTTTTCCCACAGAATCCAAAGTCTGTTCTTTACATCTGTGTCTTTTTTGATGTCTTGCATGTAGGGTCGTCATTACCATCTTTCTAAATTCCATATATATGCATTAATATACTGTATTGGTGTTTTTCTTTCTGACTTACTTCATTCTGTATAAATCGGTACACTGGGAACCCAGAGGGATGGTATGGGGAGGGAGGTGGGAGGGGTGTTCAGGATGGGGGACACACGTACACCTGTGGCTGATTCATGTCAATGTATGGCAAAATCCACCACAATATTGTAATTAGCTTCCCATTAAAATAAATTAATTAAAAAATGTATATGGTGAGTATAAGCTAGTGGTGGCATTCAATTTTTCCTTAGAAAAAGTATATATATTTTTCAAAATCTAAAATTCATTTTTTAAATTTATTTTTAATTGGACAATAATTACTTTATGATACTGTATTGGTTTCTGCCATATATCAACATGAATTAGCCATAGGTGTACATATGTGCCTTCATTCTTGAATCTCCTTTCCACTTCCCACCCCATCCGACCCGTCTAGGTTGTCGCAGAGAATTAGATTTGAGGTCCGCATGTCATAAAGCAAATTTCCACTATTTTACATATGGTAATATATATATTTCAATGCTACTTTCCCAATTTTCCCACCGTCTCCTTCCCTCAGTGTCTACAATCTGTTCTTTATGTCTGCATCTCACTTGCTGTGCTGAAAATAGGTTCATCAGTATCATTGTTTCTAGACTACATATGCATGCTTTAGTATATGATATTTATCTTTCTGTTTCTTACTTCACTTTGTATAATAAGCTCTATTATTATAATAGGCTCTATAATGAAGCTCCCTCTCATCAAATGCATTAGTTTTATAGCTGAGTAATATTCCATTGTACCACAATTTCTTTATCCATTCATCTGTAGATGGATATCTAGGTTGCAGCCATATCATAGCTATTGTAAATAGTGCTGTGAAAAACACTGGGATTCATGTGTCTTTTTCCAGTATTTTTTTCAGTATGTGTCCAGTACTGGGATTGTTAGGTCATATGGTGGACTTATTCCTAGTTTTTTTTAAGGAATCTCCATATGGTTCTCCACAGTGGCTGCATCAATTTACATTCCCATCAACAGTGCAAGAGAGTTCCCTTTTCTCCACACCGTCTCTAACATTTATTGTTTGTAGGGTTTTTTGATGATGGTTATTCTGACCAGTATGAGATGATACTTTATTGTAGTTCTGATTTGCATTTCTGTTGAGCATCATCTTTTCATGTGGTTATTAGCCATCTGTATGTCTTCTTTGGAGAAATGTCTACTTTTTGATTGGTTTGTTTTTCTGGTTTTGAGCTGCATGAATAGGNTATCTGAGCGGAGTAAAGACCGTGGCTCTGGAATAGGGACTGTCCAGAAACAGTTCAGGGTTGCTGGAGACAGACTGGAGCCCAGGGGAGGAGGAATCCAGGTTTGAGACAGAAGAGGAAAAAGCAATAAACTGGAAAAGCATGGCTCTGCAAGCAAATGGAATCTATTACTCAGAGATTAAAATGTCACAAGGAGTACACGTCAGCTCCAGACCTTGGAAAATGTTTTTTCCATCATAATTACTGCTCACCACCAACACGGAGGACTGTTTCCCTTCCTAGGGAGGAGCTGGCCCCACGTGGTGTCTCTCTAGCCTTCTGTGGACTTCAAAAGTTTCTTCTTACATCTGTTCAGAGTGTTGACAATCGCCAACACCATTAAGCACTTGCCATGCACCAGCTGTTGTTGTTTAGTCTCTAAATCGTGACCTTGTGACCAACCTTTTTGCTACCCCATGGACTGCAGCCCACCAGGCTCCTTTGTCCATGGGATTCTCCAGGCAAGAATACTGGAGTGGGTTGCCATTGATATTGAGATTTCTTTATTACAATAAAAAAAACTTTCAAATACTTTGAAGGTGGTGGCTGAGAACTGTGCCAAATATTTCTTCTCCTGCAATTTTTATTTCAATATATGTATGAGTTAATAACCATCTTCTTTAAAACCAGAAAAAAAAAAAAAACAAACCCACAATGTGAATTGGATCAATTCTTCTCACAGATATATACAGTTTCTTTCACAATAGGAATATAAGTTTATTTAGGAAAAGTGAATACCCAAATTTTGAAACAATAAGAAAACTAATGTCAAGGTTAGTTGTCATGCAACACCAAGGTAGGTGTAGGGGTGACAAACTGCATGAACCTTGTGGTTTATGGAAAAGCAACCATTTAAAGACAAAAAAGGAGTGCAGAATAAGGGGAAATGTGTGTTTCAGATTGAAACATTGCCTTTAAACATAAACATTAATGAGTTGTGAAATGCACATAATGATAAAAAAAGAATGAGTGGAATGGACATATGAGTGTAAAATGGGTATAAAATGTGGAAAAGATATGACTTAAACAGTTACATATTACTTACCTGGAAACTATTGCCATGATGATAACTTCTTTAGAGTCAAATAGATCAAAACTCAGATTTATTACACTCTTAAAATTAGCATTCAGTCACTAACAAAATAATTCTAAGGTTAGTAAATGGCAGAATTCTAAAATTATATGAAGCAAAATATCTTTCTAAAATGTTTTCTGAGAATTATTTTACTATAGCTATTTTCAAGTATAATTAATACTTGAGCAGTAGAAAATATACAATAAAAATACAAGTCACAGAAAAAGTATAACATTCCAACTCAACAACTGAGCTCTGTATTTTACTTGAAATGCTTAATTTCTACTAACAGTGCTTGCCAATTTAACATGCTGATTGGTTTGGTAATCATTTCAATTGAACTTTTGTATGATTAGTAAATTAAATAATTTAAATAATTCATACCATTTAAATTTTTACATTGAATATATTTTTGATAAGAAATGTGTTTTTAAAATCTCAAATGCCTGGTGTTGGCTATAAATACCAAGCAAGTATTTTTTTGTACTCTACAGCAGTAATATTTAAAAGTGGTTCTAGTTCTAATGCTAAACCTATTTTGTGAGGAGCCATACAGAGGAAAGGAATTAAAAGTCAAGAGGTATAACCTGAGACTCCAACCTTGAGAAGGTGTTCCTAGCATAATGCATGATGCTGTCAAAATCATAGCTTTCTCCGAGCGAGTTCACTTCCCCAGGCTCCATCTTCAGAAAATTGTACTCTTGACCTAAGAATCAGGCACAGAAAATGTTTCAGAAACCTCTTAACAGACAAAAAAGAGAACAGAAGAACCCTCCCAGTCCTCTAACTCCTCTCTACCGAAAGCTGATCACTGATCTTCATGATGCTGTATTTACACACAAACACCCAAGTACATGCAAAAGATTATATCCAGTGCCACTATGTGCACTTGAATATCATCCTAAAAGAATATTAGCGAATTTCATTAATAAGTTAACTTTTACACTGTTCATGCAGTTCTCAAGGCAAGAATCCTGAAGTGGTTTGCCATTCCCTTCTCTAGTGGACCATGTTTTGACTATGCCAAAGCCTTTGATTATGTGGATCACAACAAATTCTGGAAAATTCTTCAAGAGATAGGAATACCAGACCACCCTACTTGCTTCCTGAGAAATCTGTATGCAGGTCAAGAAGCACCAGCTAGAACTGGGTGTGGAACAACAGACTGGTTCCAAGTTGAGAAAGGAGTACCTCTAGGTGTAAGTTGTCACCCTGCTTATATAACTTATATGCAGAGTACATCATGTGAAATGCCAGGCTAGATAAGCACAAGCTGGAATCAAGACTGCCAGGAAAAAATATCAATAGCCTCAGATATGCAAATGACACCACCCTTATGGCAGAAAGAGAAGAACTAAAGAAACTTCTTAAAGAAAGTGAGGAGGAGTGTTAAAAAAAAAAAAAAAGTTGGCTTAAAACTCAACATTCCAAAAACTAAGATCATGGCATCTGGTCCCATCACTTCATGGCAAATAGATGGGGAAACAGTGGAAACAGTGAGAGACTATTTTTCTGGGCTCAAAATCGCTGCAGATGGTGACTGCAGCCATGAAACTAAAAGACGCTTACTCCTTGGAAGAAAAGCTGTGACCAACCTAGACAGCATATTAAAAAGCAGAGACATTACTTTGCCAACAAAGGTCCATCTAGTCAAAGCTATGGTTTTTCCAGTAGTCATGTATGGATG